TTTAAATTTTTACGAGATAGCGTAACGATAATGATTTATCCTCAAACGGTTTTAAATATTTGTTAATATTCAAAAAGTATAAGCCGTAGATACTTGAAAATTTTACCAGTTATTTAGATTGGCATTTTCTTTAAATGATTTAATTTTCAAAATATTTTGACTTTTTTTGAGCTATTTATAGACAACTGAAATTTTCAATTTTTCTGAAAAATTTTTTTTGAAGTGTCGATAAAATTTTTTTGGCCCAATCAAAATACTTGAACATTTAATACAAAGTTCCTCATAAGTTATTCTTATAGTGATCAAAAAATTTTAAGAATACACAGGCACAATTTTTTTTATTAGCATTTGAAGTTCAAATATTGACAAAAATTCATCAAAACCATGAATATTTGCAAACTATTTTGTAGGTATAATTCATAAAAATTAATAATTAATTGATTAACCATGACTTTTGCAAATGCGCCCTAATTGAAAAATAAAATATTTGTTTCAAAATAGAATGTATGACAATATTTAAATATAATATATCCTAGACTGACAAATCATCTCCGTTCAGAATCGTTTTTCGTATATAATGATACCTATCATTGCATACAAATTTAACCTACCCTAGTCCGAGGTTCACCCTACCCTTAATGTACAGCAGAGCGGTACCTACTTACCCCTTTTTTGAATACAAATTTAATACATCCATCATGGTGACCTATTCAACATCTACCGTATAACAGAGCGCGGTATACGCTTGTATACCCATTCATCTACCTTTTTTACAATTTTATTAAACTGCTTAATGGAGAACCACTGGGAATCGGACGATATGGCGGACTTAGAAAATTGTCGGTACTCGGTAGCCATAGCTTGCCTGTTAGCATGATAAATAAAAAATATTGTTGTTTTTTATGCACTATTAAAGTATTAACATAAACCATAAAATGGACAATAGTTCGATCGCACTATACCACAGTATGAATTCGTTGAACCATATTGTACATATTGTACCTATATAGGAACGGTAACTCTGTAACCATGGTATACTCGTATTTGCAAAGAGTAACCATGATATTTTTCATCGCTGATGGTCTTAAAAAAAACCAGTCGTCACCGAATTTTTTTCACGCGTCCATCATATACTTATATTGTTCATTTCTTGATCAAACCGTCTTCGTTTAATCGTCTACGAGTGCTGAGTACGTATTAATGCAGTGCGACAAAATTCAAATTGAACGAGTCAAAGCGGGTCGCCCGTTTTCCGAGGATAATGAGCCAAGGTTAGACACACATTATGCCATTTATATTATTATTTACAGTCCACAGTTTCCTTGCAGAAATAGGCACTAAATTTTTTTTTATATAGTTGTTCATACACTTTTACAGCCAATCATAATAATTATTATTATAGGAACAAAATAGGCGATTAAACTGTATTAATATTATGTAGAGTAAATAATTTTATTTTGGAAATTTTGGTGTGTAGGTATCAATCACAATTCAAATAAGTAGCTTCTAAGTGATTATATTTATATACTTAGTTTAATACTATACAAGTCTATGGTATAATACATTATTTAAAAGCTATTTGAGTCACGGGATTTTGAAAATTATAGTAATTAAGTTTAATTGACAAATATTTATCTATCAACTTTTTGTAATTTGTATAATTCTTTGAATAAAATTAAATTTGTAAATTATAATCAGCCCAGTGCTTGAAATGGAAAATTATTTGAAGGAGGAAGGGTGAGGAGGTGTGAAACTGTAAAAAAAAATGTGCGTATCGAAGAGGTCTGGAGTATTTTAAGATATATTTTTTAAAAGAAGATGGATTCCGATCACCATATTACTTTCAATCCCGGCGATTTACGATTCCGCTTTACATGATTGTCAATAATATACCCTTTTCATTCACATGATCCCGTATAAAATAATTTGCAACGTTGTCGGGAAATTTTGTTTTAAAATAATTTTAGTTATCGAAATGATTTATAATAATTATTAGAAAATGCTAAACATAAAAAAAAAAATTATTATAAATGCAAATGATAACTATTATCATAACTATTATGTCACATGTTGGTCCTCAATATCAAGAGAAAAAATTATAATTAACTAATTTGAATTATTTGTTTTAACTAAATTTTGCTATTTATTAATACATTATAATTTAAAAACAAACAATCATTATTTTTATTTTTTACATAAATTAATATAAATCAAACCATTATTATTAACTTTTCTAATGATATTAAGGACAAAAATTGAAAAACTATTTGTTTTTTTTTTTTTATATAGGTACTTTATCGTTAATCATTTATTTATTATATTAACTTATTTGGTTTATTATTATTGTAATACGAATAATCATTATTATTTTATGTTCATAAAACCATACTTGTCAACGTTACAGCAATTTATATAAGAAATAGTTTTAAATTTTGGTAAAGAAAAAATCTTTTTTTTTAATGAAAATTTGCGGGATCGGGTGCATTAAAAGATATCTTGTCCAGAACCGTGATTCTTCCCTCAATTAAATCATTAAATTGAATATTATAGTTTGAGTGTTGTACCAATTTTTTATTCAGTGCTAAATAATTTTGAAGGATTATTATTCTTAGAACAGAAGTACATATCTCATTAAATTTATCAACATTAAAAAAAAAAAATTTGTTATATTACGCGTTTATAAACAAAGGCACAAATGCGGGTGTAGCGTTCTTTTATAAAAAAAATAAAATACTACGGAAGGCGAGAGGAGGGTTAGTTTCTATTCACCTACTTCGTGAATACACCCCTTTCTGGGCAGGTATTATAATTAAAATAATGTTTTTAAGTACTGTTAAATACCGTTCACCACTTTAACTTATCGAAGAATTTCAGCTAATTTAAACTCATTATTTTATATTTTTATTTTCCAAATGATATTATATTCTTTTTGCTTTCTTATACTCAGCATCTATAATTGGCATTGATTAATATATAATGTATAGTGTGTAAAAATAAAATAATTATTTGTTATTATTTTTAATTATTATTATTATTTGTATAAAGATCTTTAATTATATTTAAAATTTTTATTATACATAATATATTACATTATTATAAATATATTATTAAGTCTTAACTTAATCAATTAATCAGAGAAACATTAGTAACGTTAAATAAAATAATCAAACTAGTAAGTTAACAAGTTGAAAATGACATGGGTATCATAATATTATAGGACTATAGTATAGATAATAATGTATTCATTTATATTTTTTTTCGGAATCTTTTTACAAAAACATAAAAAGTATATTTTCAAAAATGTTTTAAAACTAGGTATACATAAATAGATTAGACATTGGTTAATTTACTATATTGTTATTATTATTTCTGTTGATTTATAACATAGTATTGAATAATTTTATTAAGATAGCATCTACTCGTGTTATCTTACTTGTTATTGAAATTCCTAATTAATTCTAATTATGTTTTAACCTTGATCTGTCTTTTCTTAAAAACGAACAAGTTGAAACACCTGCGCAACACGTGTCAACTAATTCGTTGAATAATAACTATTTTTAAATGGTATTCGAATTGTTTTGGGCATGAATATATAAATTTATATATTAAATCAAGTCTAAATTAATTTAATTTGTCAGTAGATTGATTACGAACAACTTGTCTAAGATGTAATTTATATTGTATGACTAATGGACTAATGTGTAATATGTTAACTTTAAAATCTAGCATATTTTGGTAGCCGGTAAGTACCTACTTCAAAAAATTGAACTATTCATATTATTAGCATTATAACATACCTTATTACACGGAATAATTTCAATTGGAACTCGGAGTAATATTATATTTTATAAATTTAGAACAATAGTTCGTTTATATCAGCTATTATATCGTGATTTGATTTAAAAAAGCATTGGATATAATATACCTTGTCATCAAAGAATAATAAATAATTTATCACTGTGAATCATATACATAATCGTACACGATGACCCAGATGCCGATTCTTCAATGTTCTTTGAGTCCTTGGATTACCATATGGTTGCTTGCACGTTTTGGATACGTAAATTTCTACGTATCTTGGCCTAATTGTATATAATAAATATAATTTTGTTTTGTATAGAGAACTTGAAAGTTTGAGGGTTATAATTTGAGTAGGCATGTGGATTTGGTAGTGCAAACATAATGACTAACACTTGTTTTATAATAATTATTAATAAAGTAAATAAATTTGCTAATTTTCAAAATAATAATTGTATGAAATTGATCATGATAAAAAGAATATTACTTAATTTTTTATAAAATACAATTATTAAATAACTAAACCAATTCAAATGTATATTGTATAAACCACTATTTTATGATATTATCGAAACATAGGTTTAAATTAAAATTCAAACTAGGAATGTATTAGATTGTTTTAATGTTTAAGCAGTAAAATATAATATTCATTTTAAATAATATAATTTGTAAGAATGATCGGTATAAACCATTTTTAATATTTTCTTCTGAAATTTAATATCTAATAAGTATAATTATTTAAATTTATTTCCTCTAAAGTGTATACTTCTTAGTTCTTACTTACACATTATTTTTACTAAAAATTCAAATATAACAAACGTTAAGTATAATATTTAATATACATATTATTAAGTACCTATATAGACATACTTTAATATGTATAATAAACGCAGACACTTCCACTTTGTTAATTATTTATTTTAATAAATGAAAACATTCAAAACTAGTATATTGTGGAAACTGGAAAGGGAACAAGACTTGAACAATATCAAGGAACACATGTAGGTGTCTTCTTGGATGGCGCCTTAGCAACAGTTTGTTTCTTATACCGATCCGATCAACACGTTCGTTTTTGATCAACCCGTTCTCGTATACAACTTAAAATTATTTTTCTACGCGTATTAATCTAATTCACTTTTTTTTTTTTTTTAATGGGCAAATATTTTTATATTACTTTTGTTATTTGATATTTTTTAAAAAAAGTGTTGTTATTACCAAAAAAATAAAAAAATCAGAAATTATTTTGGTATGTACTTACTTATATATCATTTTTAGTAAATTTATTAATTTTTAGTTTAGTATTTGATGATTTGTATAAAAAAGTTATAATTTAATTAATGGTGATATTGTGAACACGTGCAGTATTAATATAGGTATTATACGAATAAATATGTATTATACAATTATTTAAAATGATATATCACAACTATTTGACTTTTAAGTTATTATTTAAAAGAATAAAGATATTTGTCAACTTATTTGGGGTCATGTTTCACTTTTTTTTCTTGTTTTTAAATGTCTTACTAAAATACTGATTATTACTTTGTTATAACTTATAGCATATAATTTTATCTATACTACAATACTACATATATACAACTATGTATATCTTTATCTAAACATGTTTTTGTGTTTTTATTTTTATTTTATCAGTGTAAATTTACATATTTATACACGTAGTATCCGAGTATACGTTATTACTTATTACTCGTATGTTTAATAGTTAATACAATGCCCTAATACTTGTAAAAAAAATTATATATAATTCGCGGTAAAAAAAATATATTTTGCTGATGTTTTTTAAGAATATTTAAATAAAGTAGGTATTAAATTCTTATGGATTTTAAATTATCATTTACTTTAATTTCATAAGAATTATTTTCTAATGTCGTTTTACTACATAACATATATTTTGTTCATCTATTTCAACAATATATCTATATAATAAATAATAATCATAATAATATTAACGTACTAAAATATTTAATAGTTTAAAAAAATTGATTAAAAGTAGATTTTTTAAGTATTGAGGATTTGTATTCTTTGAATTGATTTTATTTAAAACAAGCAATATTAAGAATCATTTTAATTATATAAATAGTAATAATAATAAATAATAATAAGATATTTGTAGTATTTGATTGTTATTATTTGTTAATAATTAAGACAAACAAAATACATTTTTAAATGATAATAATATCAAACATTTTTCTTTATTTTTTAACTCTTGCAGTACAGTGTACAGTGTACACCATCACAGTGAAAGCTAAAAAAATATTTTATTACTAATAAGTGGATCAATTAAATGTATTAAAATTTATCAAACTTCTTTCAAAATTTATCTTAATCAATATTATTATTAAAATAATATTAATCAACAAGCCGGTTATTTGTATTTGTATAACATAATAATCACTATAATGTGTTATGACTGTTATGAGTTACGAACGATAGGTATGTTATATAATATATAAAAATAGAAATAAGTAATGTAAATCTAGAATACCCGTTGAATATATTTTAGATATTCAATATTCACTTAGGTTTGATTAAACTAACTCTATAATGTGTATTAAATAACTGTGTACTGTGGTTTGTATACTTATAGGTAATGTCGATTATAAATTTATTAAAAGGTTCTATATAACCATTTAATATTCGTTTATTGTACGTTTGTAGTATTATCCTTTTTCTTTGAAATCCCAACAAGCTGAATTATTAGTTGACAAAGTGACAGTGAAACGACCGGACATCAAGAGTCAAAAGGGGCCTGTCAAGCTATACTATTAAGACACACCCTCTGCCAACACTTTTTTTTTATTATTTTATTAATTTTTAAGTTGTTATTGAGTTGTTAGTGAGTAAAAACTGGTTATTATATTATACACTTCCTTAGTAGTATTTGTAGTTTTTTACATACACAATTACACTTTTTCAATATTTTTAAAAACACTTTGTGTAATTTATTTTTAATTTTCATTACAAATATTACTTTATAGTTAAATTATTATTTTAATCATAATTAATGGTGATAAATAACTCGCTCAATAAACAAATTCTGGCTATACTATCAGATTTACTGTTAAATAAAAATTAATAATTTAGCACACCTATGTTTTGTTATATTGAGTCAGTTAAATAAGGTATACGTAGGTAGTTCTTTGTTAATTTGCAAAAATCAATATATTTATTGCTCATGAATAGATTTTGTATTTGCAAACCGAATATAAAAAATAAAAAATAAAATTACTAAGAATATTTTTTATTATTAAAATTATCTAAATGGTTTTTATATTTTCATATCCAATAGATATAACTCATTCATTACACATCAATTTATATAATATTACATTTTAAAATAAAACTGGTACTTATAGGCTAAAATTCAAAAATCTCTTATCTAATTTATATTTAACATTTTTCAAATAACTTTTTTATAAAATAAATTATAAATGGTATTATTCAATTTAAAAATTGTAAATCTTAATTTTTAATATTATAAAAAAAATATTTAGTTATTATAGGTATTAATTACTTATTATACATACGTTATACTTTTTTCATGTATTATTCAAATACAATATTAGATATATTCAATATTTATATCTATATATATTGTAATTAATACACAATACATTATTACTCATTAATTTATTTTTTAGATTCAGTTCACTATTTTTGTTTATTTTGCATTTCTGTATAACTGTAATACTATACTGATACTCGTAAACATCATACTTAAATATGTTAATGAATACGAGCTTAAAATTAAATAGCACTTTTTGTTAAAATAAATATTTTTTATTATAGTTTTTAATAACTTTTAAAATATATTTATATTTTAGGGTTCATAACTAAATAAGTGTATGGCATTATATTTCTATTCTAAAATTATCAATTATTTATAATAATAATACGTAATAAAATAGTCGGAATATTTTAATGAATATAATTTTTATTAAGAATTAAAACTTAAAAAATAAGAAAGTTATATTAAAATGTTTGTAAAATTAATGACAAGTTTAATATAAAAATTAAAAATAATTTTTGGTTTGATTAACTTGTAATTAATAACTTTAATGCATCTAGAGGTTTATAATTAATACATTTATAATGACAGTATTTTCTCTTTATTCATAAAAAACATTTTTTAAAGTTTCCATATGGTATATATTAGAACTCGAATACGTTTAACAAATATTTTTTTTATATATAATAAAATGGTAATGAATTGTTTAAATTATATTCTAATATTATTTATCTAATACACTAGGTATTTAATTTAGTACCCTAGTGTACATGAGTTAAATGTTTCAAAAACTATTATTTTAAATTTCATACTGTATTTGAATATCAAAACAGTTTAATTTTACTTATATTAATATCATTTCCCTAAGATGTTATAAATGCATAGATATAATTAAACCAAATAAAATAAATATTTTCTAAATAGCTTAAATACTAAAAAAAGAAAAAAATTACTTTTGTATCTTAAAACTATAATTATTGGAATTTTATTGATTTCTTTTAGATAGATGCCCGTTTTTATTATACGACTTCCTGTGTTAATACCAATAATATGGTACTAAGTTAAACATTTTAAGCATATTTGATTAATGAAGATGACTAATACTAGCCGTTTGTGTTGGGGGCAAGGTTGGCGTTATAATAACAATATTAAAGGACGGGACGGACAGACGGCCAGTTTCCAAATAAGGGCTCCTCTGGCTCGCCTACTACCACTCACCGCCACTAACAACTGTCGTTCGACCTTACTATTTTGTATTTGACACAAATCCAACATAGAATATTGCAATATCCTAAACTAAATCCTATATTAGAATTGTATATAAATACAAATATAATTTACTTTTGAACGACTATTTTACACACACTGGAAAATTACCTATTGCAAATAATTGAAGCATATAGATTGGTCATTATTATTTTTCAACTAACATTATATTATTAAATTTACAGAAGTTAAATGTATAATAATTATATTTTTAGTTAAATAGGTTATTAATATTACTGAAACGTCTATATTTATTATTATTATTATTATATAATTTCAATAATAACTTAAAAGTTTCACTTTTATTTTGATTACAGTATAATTAATTTTAGTATTGTTTAAACTTTTGTTTTAGTATGATTTAAACATTATATTATATAATTTACACTGTATGTGTATAATATTTGTAACTATTGAACTATATAATAATAATATATTAGCTCTGGTTAGTTCTTGGTGTTGGTGTTGTATATTATTTAAACTATATTGTTTATTTGCAAATTATACTCGAAATACTATTTAATTTATGACATTATTCTTAAGTACCTATTTAAGATATTGTGCGGAAATAAAGTTATTAAAAAATGTGTTAATTGAAACTAGGAAACTATCACCTTACCACTTGAAATATTATTGAATCTTGATGAAATATTTTATTTGTTGAAGATTAAAGAGTAGTTTTTTTTTTTTTTTAAGTGTGATTTATGTATTATATAATAACATAATGTTATATGTGATTAAAACTGATTAAAGTTGAACAATATTTTTTTAAGAACCCATAAAAATATGTGTGAATTACAGTTATTTAGTGTTATTATTTTTTTAGGGTCTACAACTCGTAAAATAATTCAAAATATATGTTATTATTTAATATGTAGAGTACATATATTTAGTAAATACATCTGGTGTTTGATTTCAATAGGGTTTCTTGAAGAGGGACTCGTAAGATTGTTAGAAGTACGTGCTAGTGCATTTAGAATTATAAGTTATCTTTCATAATAGAAATCAAGGAATATAAATGACTTAATTAATATTAAGAGCAGAAGCATACAGGATAAATGGATACTAAAGTCTAAAATAAATGTTATATGCGCGTATTACTGACTAGTATTTACTCAGTCTATATATATAATATACATGTAGACACATAATATAGAAGGTATATTTTTTTTGTTAAATGCAAATGTTATATGCTAATTCATTTTGTTGTTATTGTTATTGGGAGTTTCCAAAAAGATTAGAATAGTCGATAATGTTTATGTATAATTATAACTTTCAAAAGAAGGTTGAATACATATTCAAGCAATTATTATGTCAAATAACTTTCTGATTTTAATATTTATATGTAAAATAATTTACTATCTATCGTATTATATTCTTCGTATTTATAGTTATTGTAGTGAATAGTTTGTTGGACGTTATTAGAATACTTAGTAACTTATACATTGCTATGAATATTTTTGTATGATTACGATTGTCGATTTTGTTTATGTTCATTAAGTAAATTATTATTTATTTTATACTAAGAAGTAATAATAATCATACTAATAAAGCAATCGAGAAAATTAATTATTACATATATATTGATTGTTTATAGTAATAATAGTTGCATATATTTTGGAGAAAAAAATCGTTTTTTAAACCAATAATGAAACTTCTACGAGTTGAGAGATAGGTGTTGCATTTATACATTTTTTTTCATTGTTTCTCATCTTGTGGACGTCATAGACTTCCTGTTCCGTTAACGTGAATGGTCGAAAACAATGGCCAATTTGTCACTTCTACATTATGTATCAGGAATATTAAAACAATATTTTATGTTTTAACAATATATCAAAAACAGTTACGTAGCTAATAAACCGAAAAGAGTTGGACTTCCTGAACTAGTAACGTTTAGTATAATAAATAGAAAATTCGAATAATAATTAGATGTTCATTGAACCTTATAGTCCATCGACTTCATTTACCCTCGTTTAAATCGCTAGCCACCTATTTTATCACGTACGCAATACATACAATAAAAGTGCACTGGGTTCTCGGGACTAATATTGCGTTTGGTTTTAGCGGCTAAGCTACTTAAAAATTAATTCATTGTCTATTGTCTCAAGATTTCTCTCCCGATTCGGCCGTACAATGTTTACAATTGAATTTACCAATATCACAATCATATACATAGATTTGGCTTATGTAGGGTAAATGTTTCAAGCATTGTGACTCTAAAAGTAATGGTTAAAATTTAAAGGAGGTAAATATACTTTACTTATTGAGCTCATTGGTTGCAACTTTTCATAAATAATAAAGGCCCTATATCTATACTTATATCCTTATTCCTTGAAAGAAATTATTTAAAATCGTTGCGATGCAGTATATAATATTTTTTTATAACTTAACACGTCGAAAGTATTTTTTATGACCACTTTTATTAAATGTATATTAGCATATTGTATATAGTGCATAAGACAACACCCCAAGTATATTCTTATATGGGTACTTCACTACCTCACATGGTTCTATAAACTATAAGTAATATCGATCTATCGTGTAAAATTGTTTAAGTAAAATATTTCACTATGTATTTATTCAATGTTATTTTGTGGTTATGAATTATCAATGCCTGTAGGAAGATAGTATAAAGATTATATTTTTATAGGTGTCAAAATATTTTATTTAAAAGACAAGACACGTGTAATGAGAAAATATGTGGGTGTTGTGGTCGGTTGAAACACTTTACAGTTTACTATCCATCTATCACTCAGTGTGTAGTACTATAGTCCACTTCACTATAGATTTATTCGATAATAATGTTGCTATATTAATGTTAATTTATGAGGTATTTATAGTATGTTGTTATAAATTTAAAATAGCAATTAAATCATCATATAGTTGATTATTTGAAAGAAAATACTTTATTTTATAAGTGTATATTCATTATATTCACGTTCAATGACCATTTTTTTTTAAAATATATTATTCAAATAGTTATTATTTGAATAATATATTTTTAATTTATACTATTTATTAAAGATTACTCAATTCGGGTGTATGTAATAATATCATTTTTTTATTTTCATACACGCTTCTAACGAACGTTGTTTCTTCTATAGTTCTCAATGATGACTTCACAATTACATAGCCACTCCTTTCGGTCGTTGGAAGACACCCACTCGTTCGCATACAGATTTTTCTTACAGTCTGTCTCGAATTTGCAACTACACATACTGCATGTATATTCGTATTACAAAAACACTATAATTCTGCAAACCTACGTACTCGTATTATTCATTTTCTCAGAGTTATTTCAAATTAATTTTGATAATAATCTCAACGATTTAAAAATCGATGTATTTACTGTTTGTAATTCATAAGTACCTATATTATTTCAAATTCAATTGTTGACTTTTCCGGTACCTTAAAGTAAATAATCTTTTTTTTTAAATATATCATACCAAATCTCATATTAACAATTATATTATATATAAACGGATACGGTGGCGTCCTTGACGAAGATTGACACGAAAAAAAGAAGTTGCAACACGCGTGATGATAATATTATTCCAGTAACTACCATGTCTGGTCATGAGGCTTAATCGTGTTTTAGTGTCGTTCAATGCCACTCGGAAAAGAGAATTTACGTACTATCAGTTTGTCTGATAATATGTTTATTAAATATAAATACTTAAAAAATATAAATTTTAATCAAACTAATAAAATAAAAGGCGTACTTAAGCACGTATACATTATTCGGACGGATTTGAATAATCATTTAATTTGATAATGTCATGCGTATTCTTTAGAACGTATTTTGATATGCATGCAAGTGACATTGACATCTAATTATGTCCAATTCTTAATTCATATAAATAAATATTATATTTTATTGATATATTGCGAGTTATATTATACCTACCACCTGTATCATTTTAATGTACCTAATTGTAAATTGAAATTAGTGTTCTAGCATTATGCAGTATACTGTGACTAAATTATATATGGTACGTTATCTAAATTTTACGGACGTGTACAAATACTACAAATATATTCTGTTTCTAAAAGATAATTCTTTGGTTATTCTGTCATAGTGTCGATCTTCAAAATCGCTGAATATTGTCACTTTCACTTCATGCTTATATAGGTTTACGACTTACCACGTTGTTATAGACATTTAGCTAATGTCAAGTGTTTATATAGGCCAGCATGTGTGGTATCTGTGAATGGAATTTAAACATTTTAAACACTTAATATTTTGTGTTGTATTTCTTTTTTTAGATACCGCAATAATAACAAAAGTATTGTTCGGAATGGCTGCTCGGAAGAGTACTATAATCTAGACATGGAGTCTAGAATAGGACTTGATTACATCGTTGAAAACCCAGAGTATACAGCAAAACTAGCTACAGGTAATTCAATTTTTTTCAATAATGATAAGTATTAAATTTTATTACACTAAGTAGGCTTAAAATATTGATTACTAATTTTTAAAATAATATTTAGTGCAGAATTAACGATGAATTTATTTTTTATATAATATATTCTTATATAAGTATACCTATTTAATATGTATACTAAATTATACACAAATTTTTTTTTTTTTTGGAAGGTTATTACTTATTAGTTATTATCTACCTACATATAAAAAGCAAACGTTGAAAATAATTGAAATTATTTCATAATTACTAATACGTAAGTACGTCACTTAAACCAAGTATTAGAGCAGGTTTATTTTTAATGTAATGAAATTATATATATAAATGTTACATACAACATATTTTAAACCTATTAAGTTGTTATAGTAAAAGATCAGGAAAATATTCTGGATTGTGCAGTTAAATAGCAGATTTTAGCTTAGGGCGTTATTAGTGTTAGTTCAAATTATTTTCATTGTTTATTGAATAAATTGTACACTAAAATATACCTACTTAGGTATAGAAAACTATTAATAAGGACTACCAAAATTAATTTTACATATATTTCACTTATAAATTTAGATATTGCAACCTAAAAGATAATATTGACCTTGAAAAAACTCCTTTAAGGTTATAATTACGTGTAATTATGAAGTTAAAAACTATATATTATTATTAAGTATTTTGGATAAATATTAGTAACATATTAACATTATACATATTATATTCCTTACTATTACCGTAGATTTGATATTACTTAAATCAAATAGCTGTTTAAAAAAAAAAATTATCTCTTTATTTACATAAAATAGACATTTCATTTTTTTATACAAAATATAATGATAATTTATAACGTGGATGATATTATAATCAGATGGATTTCTAATTGTTTGTATTTATAGGATATGGATATTATCTAATAGTTTACCAAATTACCATTATAAATTCAGTTTATTATTGTACCTAATGTATAAAATAAATAATCGTACCCAAAATATAATTTAACTAATTTAATTAAATTTTAAAATGTATATTTAGTTTTCAAAAATTTTAAATTACCTATACCTTGAATCAAAAATTGTACTAAACATTTTAAGGTCAAGAAAGGGAAACTTGTTTTTTATAGACCGATCCGATTATGTCTATTGTACTGACGTAATTTAATAAGGAGTGTTTACATAAGAACGCCAGAAGCTGGATTTAAACAAAAATTTAAAAACATGTTCTCGATTCTTAGATATAGACTATTGTAGTTTAAAACGATTGAGAATTAATATATATATATAAATTCAAATTATTATAATGTATTCAGCTTATAAAAACATAAAAAGTAATTAATATGAATTCTTTCAGGATATATTATAGGCAATATAGTTATGTAAATTAATTGTATGTATAGATAAGATTTAAAAGTCTTGTAATGTTGGTAATTTTTCGTTTTTTTACATTTTTAGTGAAAGTAATTTATGAATATTTTGATCAATAGATTTCAGAGATGACATTAATAGATACGATTCATTTTTTTTTCAACAAAATCATAATAATTATTAGGTATTGAAACATACTTTTACAACTATTACAATTCAAAACTGGCTATTAAAAATATTAACCCATGAACCCGATAGTGTTGTAAAGGGATAACTAACTCTTCAATTTATTTTAAATAAATTTAAAGATTAAAGTTGTTATTTAATTTTCTATTTACGCTTCTAGCAAACACAGAATAAAATTGTATAGCAGTACAGAAAAAATAGCTTAACAACTTTTTTTTATTATTGTAAGTAAATATTTGAGCCTCTTTTTTATTTTTTTATTTACGGTTAAACCAGCGTTGCAAAAATTCTGAAAATAGTCACACAAAGTCACACTAATGGCAAAAAAGTTTTAAAATTTTAAAAATAGGGGGGCTGGTAAAATATTCGTATAGGAAGCATTAAATAATATAATTTTTTTAAAAAAATGTTGAATTTCGTCTGGAAATTATATAAAAAATATATTTTCAAAAACGTTAGTACATTTTAAAATAAAGAGTGTTGTTTGATAAAATAATCACTCAGTATATTTATAGGTTTTTTAAATTGCCACATTTTTTTTTCTATAGTTAATATTATGAAAAATATATAGAAAAAACTAGTTGGTCAAAAAGTTTGAAAATCAAAAACAAAATTCTTTATAAATTTTACTTATTTAAAATATCAAAAATACATATACTCCATTTTTTTTACACATTTCAAATTTAAATTGTATAACTAGCTATGATATTGAATAATGTATAAATAAAAATTAACGATTATAAGTTATTTATACCGTAATGTTATCCACTTCTTTTTTATCTATATCAGTAATATTTTATAAGTTATTAACAGCTAGTAATTAGTAATATATTGTATAAAATAATATTAAAATATTTGCGATTTGTACTTGATAAACAATAAACATAAGTTCCATATTACTAATAAAAAAATTAATTTTAGCAATTTAGCATTATAAATATCCTTAGCTATGTATGTATTAGACTGACAAACGGCTTTTATTCATACCTTATTTTCGTTTATATAATAAGAGATTGGAAAATTCAAAACATTTTTATGAAAATAGTCTAAACAAAATGTAATTTTCAAAATGAATATGTATTTTGAATATTTTGACTTTACCCATAATCATAGATTTCGAAGAATTTGATTATATGATTAAATATTTATTTTAATCTAATTCTAACTTTATTTGTTAATTTGAATTTACTTATAAGATTGTATTTAAAAAAAAATTTACATCATATCATATTTTTTTTTTATTAAATGTTTAATATAAGTTTTATGGTACACTATAATTTACTTTTTTTGATTATTATCGATACATTTTTTTTTCTAAATTAAAAAACTTGAAAATATTGCAAGATTCCACAAAATACATTTTTTTATGTATTTAAAATACATGTGCACAACATAAGTATTTTATTAGGTATCGCTTAAAATTCAAACATGGATAAAAATCACGAAAATTGGAAATTATTCTGTAGTTAAATATTCATTACCTTTTAATTTTATTACTTTAGGTTTTAAAATTTAAGGAAATTAGTGGCACTCGCACTCCAAGTATTTTGTTTAATAAAAATGGTTTTAAGTGAATCAAACCTAAAGCGTGGTGTAAATTTTTAAAATCACTTATTCTAGTTTTCTTGGTAATATTAGTGGTATCACTGTTTTTTTAACATTAATTTACGCAAACACTATTTTCTCACTACAAATAACGGATGGGTAGTGTCATCTTAATATTAAGTATTTTATAAGTTCTTAAATTGATTTAAAATATTTAAAATACGTAGACAACAATGTTTTTCGTTAGCGTTTAAAGTTCAATTTTATCAAAATTGAATATTTGAAAGGAAAATTACTATATATTTAAAATATTTATTTAATTGTTATGTTGTATTTCAAAACATATTAAACATATAGAGATTTTAAATTATTTTTTCATTATGTATTTAGGTATATTATTATTTTCTATGTATAAATAAATGTTCAAAATATGTAAATTATTTATAAGGTATGTCCTATAAGCCTATAGGTATACCAATATCTTATTATTTTATGGCTTATTGTAATAGTAATAATAATATATCATATTATAATATTACAATAATTGTATCATAAATAGTAAGTATATTAAGGTATTTTAAATTCATAATATATTGTGGAATCTTTTTAGACAAATTAGTTTATTTACTTTAATTTTCTGTATTATAGTATATTTATTATCTAACTAAATATTACATTGATATGACTACATTCAATGTAATTTTAATGTAAAATTGCCATATCTCCATGACACACTGTGTATATAAGTACATTATAATTTATAAACGAGAGTTTTCGTTCGCATTTTTACTCTTCTTTACCGAAACTATTATGCCTATAAATAGTTCAAAATGAGTTAAGATATTTTGAAATTGTTTTCATATTGATTTGGCAACAAAGAAAATTTTTTTCTATTATATAAGTAGAAAAACTTATAAAAATGTTGTATTAAATTTTTAATCTAAAGTATAAAACAAAAATAATTATAAAATTACAACTACAAAATAATTTATGAATTTTTATGAATTATATTAATATTTTAATTTTAAACGCTTATAAAAAACGTTGTAAAAATTAATTTACGATATATTTTACCCAAGAAATTTATAACGTATGAGAAGCTATGTATTAAACGCTGAAGTATTTTTACCAAGTAAATAACTTTAATTGGCATTTTTAAAAAAAAATTTAAAAAAAATTAGAAATTTTCTGTAAGTAACTCAAAAAATGATTAAATATTTCGAAAATATTATCCAATTTTTTAACAGAAACCACCCCCAATTTTGAAAATTTTAATCTTTTTACTGTTTCACAGTAAAATACACATCATAGTAAAATTAATACATTCATCGCTCAGCTCAGGATCTAAAATAATAGGTTTACAATAAGCGCATGATAATTATGAAATTCTAAAAAAAGGAATCGGGCTCTGTCTAAATTTGTTTTGATTAATTTTAGTTCTCATCACAATTATTCATTATTATCTAATTTTATTATACTGATTTATAACATAAAATTAGAAAAATTTATATTAGAATAATTTATGCTATTATTTATAAAGTTAAAAGTCAAACTATTTGATTTTTCAGAGTATAATTATGATTAATTAATTTTTTTTATTTATCTTGTTTGAAATTTGAATATATACATTTTGGAAATTATTATTAAAACTGACTTTCTTTTTTATATTATTGTCTGTTTATTAGATTAATTTTAAAATATTTTCAACAACTAATATTATATTTATCATGATAACTGAACGAGTAATAATACAGATACTTTTAATAGTCATTTACTATTTCTGGTTTATGTATTCAAGATTCAAGATAATATAATCCTATATAATTATATTGTATATAATATTAAACTAGGATTAATCATTTAACTCTATATGATATAGAGTTCAAAAGAATAAAT